GCCTACCGGGCAAGACGCAAGGAGGAGACTTAGCATGCACAGTGCTATGGTCTGAACTGTGCCCCTGATATTCTCAATAAGGGGGCTGCTGGGAAGGGGGCATCGCTGAGCAACCATTTTGTGAGCCTTTAAATGGAAGCCGTGTACTTTCCTCAGAGCTGTAATGAAACACAACCACCCTCTGGGGAATGGCCTTCAACTCCCAGAGTGGGAGCCCCCTGACCTCAACAGCGGCACACCTCTGCTAAATACCACCAGCTCCCGCCGCTGCAACTCCATCTATCTTGCACCACTGGCTGATAACTAGACCTTTCTCCTTCCACTCTGCTAGCTCGCTCTCTCCCTCTACCCTACTGGTTAAGATAAACTGTTTCTTTTTTGTCTTTTGCTGCACCAAAGGCCCTTTTGTTTGCATTTGTGGTGGTGGGTGGCTGGACCCAGAAATGGCGAGAGAGGTTCTGACCTGGTGACCGCTTTTGCCCAATGACATCTCTATATGTGAAATGTTTAAAAACTGCCCAGGGAGTGTTACAGAATATTTTAGGTAGAGATTCCTACACAGGCAATTTTATCCTATTTAAGAGTCTACCACTGAAATTAGCACCCTTTAGGAAACTCTGCTTTTCAGACTCTTCTTTTCCTTCAACTGTAAACCCACAGATACGCTAAAATATCCATGTTTATTAACAACTGTTTCTATGGCAGCAGAGTCCATGGTGGTAGGGCACAGAGATGGAGGCTATTTATAAGTTAAGGACTGACAGTATATGCCAATAACAGCTATTATTGATGAAATTCTTACAGAATTTCTGAAATAGATATTGTGAAAAATCAAAAACAAGCAATATTTATAGCACCTATTGTTCACCCAGAAACCTCTTGATTATAATTTGATTTCCCATCTACGTTCACCACTTGGAAGAAAATATTTATCATCCTCGTATAACTGACCTCATTGTAAATCAAATAAATCTGCATTTGGAATTTATATATTAGGTTTATGAAGTGATTAGATCAATTTAATTCTCTGCGACATTTAATGACTAGATCAGGTTTATAAGATCACAAATCTGAGAATCAGACACTGATAAATTCACTAAGGTTATACCATCCAACATGGTCTTCTGAATAACAGCAGCAGTTCTATCCCAGTCAATAGCCCTTGACATGATGGAGGGTATTGACATGAACTTTTCTTTTAAAATGTTTATAGAAAGAATAAATTGATTTTCATTTTATGTAGCATCTCACAAAAGCCACTTTCACGTAAGTTGTGCCACCTATAAATATACTTATCACCAACCACTCCAAGTATGATAGTTCCAAACGACTCACAATTTTATATAAAGGTAGCAGGCTCTGGAGACAGAAGGCTAGAATGCAAATCATAGTTCCACCACAGAATGTTGCACTCCACAATAAGTGTGTGACATTGGGCAAAAATGTTTGTGCCCAGCCTCCTCATCTGTATGAGAGAGTTGGGTGAAAAGAGTAGTGCCTACTTCGAATGCTCACTGAATATAAAATGAATTTATACATGTAAAGTGTTGGGAACCCTAGAAACAATCAACAAGTATTATCTGTCATCATTACTCTTGAGCGGAAAACCTAAATAGTATTTGGTTGTATTTTATGCAAACATGAAATTATTTAATAAAGATTCACTTTGCATGCAAAATATGAAAATATACATATTACCCCAACTGAAGAATTCATCAAGGACCCATTTGAAAACTGACTGGTGAGAGATTTATACTGTTTTCAAGTTATCGCTACATGGCTTTAGCAAACTTTCCATTTTTTGTTGCCTGGAATAGTCTTGAGTTATGCATGTCTCCTACAATATGCTACAACTCCACAGAGAGATACAAAGGAGATAAAAACCAGAGAGCTTCCCAACCCCAATAACCTCCTCCAGTGTTGCTCTTTGTAGGCTGGTCTTTCTAGACCTTTCCTAGAGCTTTCCTATATTCTTGGAGCCTAGAAACTCAGTCTCTACTGACAGAATTTAAATCTGAACACTCCTAAGAAAGCCTGTTGAAACAAGGGTCAGTCAGCCTGATAACTTTACACATGAGTGCCCTTTCCAGTCCGGAGTAATTATCATACCCTCCCATTTTCCTAAGTATACATTATATCTTTAATATTTCCTTGCTCACAAATTACTGTTTTCCTCTAACATGTGTCTACACTACTCAAATATATGTTTAATTTGTTTTATTTACCCACCTGCCATCAGCACGTCTTTTTTTTTTTTTTTTTATGTTGCCTCTGGAGGTCACATTTTCATTCCAACACCCCTCCAACCACATTCAGTTCACACTCAATTCTTCAACTTCTCAGTCATTCTTCATGCTCTGCCCCATCTACTAGGCAGTTCTCTTTATTCTAAATTTATCATTCACTTTTGTATAGTTTAATAAAAATCTGGTTCTCCCTTTACACAAGATGGCTTTTTCAACATAACTGCTTAGTCTTACTTTCTCTTCTTCCTTTAAATCAATGAAAAGAAATGAGGAACAGTCTTCTCCTTGTTCCCAAATGCAATTTTCATAAAAATCACACTGTGATCCATTTGTCATTGTCTGATCTCACATCCTACCTGTACACACTCATGTTTAAATGTCTCCTCTCACCTTCACCCTAGTCTTGGTAGAGGTGATTGATTAAGAGTCCATAATTCCATTTCTGTCAATGTTAACATGTATGTAGTTGGAGAACATTATATAATCATATATAATATAAGCATATTAATGATGGTCACAAGGTTAACAATGGACTAAATTGAACAAAACACATAATGATAGCTGTGCTCATAAAATAACTTTTAATTTTCCATAATACTCCTAGAGTCAAGTTCTATAAAGTTATATATTAATTAGAAATATGTAAGCTACTGCCTTAGACATAAACATCATATATTTTCAAAAACTCACAGCATCATAAAGTTAGAGGCCTTATGATGAATTTAAAAGTATTTGTGTCAGACAATCGAGCTATTTAGATCTTCTAGAAAGAGGATTCTACAGCTCCCAAAGCAAATCATTCCAATCTTAATACTCTCAATTTCAAATCTAAATCTCCTTAATTTCAAATTTCCTTAATATCCTTAATTCCATATCTAAATTTCTCCAGCTACTCTTCTTTTGGAGATGAGGAAGGGACAGGTACCATACTCATTAAGATAGCATTACACCTACTGGAAAAGCACTGTCATCCCTAGTTTTCGTTTTTTCTTTTTTATTTATTTATTTATTTATATAAGCACTGGGTACAGTCAGAAGTGTGGGAGGGTGAAAGAATTCACCAGAGCCAGAGCGGGGAGCAGAACAGGCAGACTGAGGAAGTACACTGCTGAGGGGAGCAGCGGGCGCGGCGGGAGAGGTCTGCACGCCACGTGGGACCCTCGTCAGCAGCCGGGGATTGAACCGGCCCTGCAGAGGCTGCAGACAGCTTCGCAGCCCAGTGCTCAACCACTGCGCCACCAGGGGAGGCCCAGTTTTCATTCTTTTATGCCCAATAACTTGGACTATTTTTCAAATTCTCATTCTCCAAAAATTTTTTGACTTTCCTTACTTCTGTTCACATTTTTTATCAGAAAAACTAAACTTAGATTTAACCAGCTTACAAGACTTTATTGCTTTTAATAATTTTTTTAGATTTTTTAATTTTAACAATTATCATTTTTTACATTTTTTAGACAATATTTGCTTCCCCCCACCCCCTCAGATTCAGTCCCCACAGAATTTCCTTCCCCAAGGCACCTGTGCACCATGACCACAGTCCCCTGTGCTCCTCCTCCCTCCCTCTCACCCCTCTCCCTCCTCCTCCCCTGCAGGATGTCTCTGGTTTATAATTGTCTGTTTTTGCTTTGTTGTGTTTTGTACTGTTACTATTTTTTTTTACACTGATGTCTTATTTGGTTCCCCTATATTCCTGTTATAAGTGAAACCATCCGATATTTTTCTTTTTCCTTCTGGCTTATTTCACTGAGCATAATTCCTTCTAGCTCCATCCACATTGCTGCGAATGGCATGAGTTTATCTATAGAGAACCCTAAAAACGCCACAGAAAAACTACTCAAAATAATCAACCAGTTCAGTAAAGTAACAGGATACAAAATCAACACGCAAAAATCAGTAGCCTTCCTATACACAATCAGAAGAAGAAGAAATCAAGAAAAACATCCATTTATAATTGAAACCAAAAAAATCAAATACTTGGGAATAAACCTAACAAAAGAGGGAAAAGACCTATACAAATAAAACTATGAAACACTGTTAAAAGAAAGTGAAGAAAATGCAAAGAAATGGAAAGACATCCCCTGCTCATGGATTGGAAGAATCAATATTATTAAAATGGCCATCCTCCCAAAAGCAATATACAGATACAATGCTATTCCAATAAAAATCCCAATGACATTCTTCAAAGAAATAGAACAAATACTGATGAAAATTCATATGGAACCACAAAAAAACATGAATAGCCAAAGCCCTACTGATGAAAACAAAGGAGAAAGGAGGTATCACATTTCCAAACTTTAAGTTATACTACAAAGCCATAATAATTAAAACAGTATGGTATTGGAACAAAAACAGACACACAGACCAATGGAACCGAATAGAGCGCCCAGAAATAAAGTCACACTTATATGAACAACTAATCTTTAAGGAGCAAAGAATATGCAATGGAACACGGACAGTTTGTTCAAAAAATGGTGCTGGGAAAACTGGACCTCCACATGCAAAAAAATGAAACTAGACCACTACCTCTCACCATGCTTTTAATAATTAATTAACATAACAAGACAATGTGGTATACAGGCTTTCAAACATCAGAATTAAGACCCAAGTTTCTGTAAACTGAAAATGTATAAAACTTTGCAAAGCATATGCTTATTTTCTCTTAAACAAATGATTTTATGGTTATAATTGACAAATTAAGACTACACATGACCCCCCAAAACATTAGAAAGAATGAATTACTAAATTATTACTTACTTGATTTGTCTTTGGTAAGATTTGTCTTCTGGATTGCAAAGAGGATACTGGCTATTTCTTCTGCTTTCAAAGGTATTATGGGCAACATGAAAAATATAAAAGTAGAAAAATTTGCGTGAGGCCAACCACTGCTGTGTTCCAAATAGAAAGCCGATCCCAGGCATACTGTCTCCTAAGTCCTGCCTTAGTCACATGTAATGGACCCTCTGCAGGACTTTTCCCTAAGACTCTTCCACTTCCCTAAGACTCCTCCTGGCAGCCCCTCTTTCCAGGGGATGCTGGAGTTTATTTCAGTGAGGCCAGAATAGCTCTGCAGGCCCTAGGGCAGCAGGAACCTTAAACTACTGAGGCTCTCTGAGTAACAGGGACAAAGAATGTGCCTATCTCATAAGGCCACTGTGAGGTTTAAAAGTCATTCTTTGTGAAGGATTCCCAGCAATGTCTGGTACTTAAAGTCTACTCAACAAGTGTTAACTATTATCTAGAGCCTCTTTGTCCAATATGGTAACCCCCAGCTACTAGTAACCAAGTGACTACTTAGCTCCAGAGATATGGCCAGTCTGGGTGGATATGTACTGCAGGTGCAAAATACACAATTTTAAAGATTTTGCATAAGAAAAAGAATATAAAATAACTCATTAACAGTTTTTATATCTGTATACATATCAAAAAATAGCATTTGGGATATACCGGGTTAAATATAAACAAATATATGTTATTAAAATAAAAAAAAGGGAAAAAGTTTACATAACAATTTAAGTAACACATGAGGGAAAGTAGAATCCATTACAAATTTCAGATGAAGAGGTCCAAAGCTGCCACCTTAAAGAACCCAGCTATTTACCCAGGGCTCCCAGCTGCACCAGAAAGTGTGTCCCACTCAGCTTTCCAGCATCTCCTGCAGACTTGGCCACAGCCTGGGCCTAGAAGTGCCATATCCTACATTGATGACCCTCAGGTACCCCCAGATACTCCCAGGTGAGCACCCTGACATCCACATCAGTTGCCAAATCCCTGGCAGCACACAGAGGCCTAAACTGCAAAATTGAAGGACATAGCTATTCACTGCGGGCACCCAGCCACACCAGGAAGTACACCCTACTAAGCCTGCCAGTGCCTACCAGCAGAGCAGTGCCTTGCCCTACATTGGAAACCCTTAGCTACCCCTAGGAATCTTCAGCAACACCCTGCCCTCCTGGCCATCAGAAATAGGACCTGTGCCACTGATCCTGAAAAGTTGACAGCCCAACAACTCAGAATCTAGACTTAGCATTTACCCTGCTGTTCCAGTCACCATAATAAGACCTGGGAGAGCTCTGGAGGAGGCCCTTATACCAACACAGATCCCACAAACCTCCCGTAATTGTTCCTAACATCAAATAAACACCCAGAATAGCAGTGGGGGAAAGTACTCAAACACAACAAGGCCCAACTACAGTAGAGCAAACCCAAAGCAAACACTGGTGAGAAGGAAAATACAGATGACCAAGGAAACCCTCAAGGGGACAAAACCACAGAGAGAAAATCAAGCTTCAGAACCCAAAAAAAGCACTGTCAGGTGAAAAATTCAAAATTTCCATAATTAAAAAAGTAAAAGAATGTGAACAGAAGTCAGAAAAATGAATCAAAGATACAAGATAAGATGCAAAAAGGCTAACTATGCTATGAGAAACATAGTCAATGAACAAAAGAACAAGCTTTAAACTTAATTTAAGTAAGAAAATAAAGGAACTGAAGGATGTTTAAATATCAATAGAGGAGCTAAAATAATACTAGAATGAGGGTCTCCCCAGTGGCCTTTATCACCAATAGAGCCTGAGTTAGATCCCCAGCCAGGGAGCTAACCCACATTTGGCACAGCTGACCTCTCCTAAGTTGCCCGCTGCTCCCCTCAGGAGTGTATTTAAGTAAAATCCACCTGCTCTGATTCCTACTCTGTCTCTGGTGAATCCTCTCATCCCCTGTACCTCTGGCCTACACCCCAGTTCTTCTATGCAAAAATTAAAAAAAAAATACTGGAATGAGACATGAAAATAGACAATGTGGAAGAACAAATCAGTACTCTTGAAGATAAAGACAAAAATAACCAAGAAAGAAAAGAGAGAGAGAAACAAAGGAAAATACTGAAGAACTAGTTCAAGAATTATCTGACACCATGAGGAAAGAAAATGTAAGAGTCATAGGAATTCCAAAATGAGAAGAGGAAGACATGGGGATGAAAAACTATATAATGAAATGACTGAAGAAAACTTTCCAAACTTGAAAAAGGAAATGAAAGTAGACATAAGGGAAGCTAAAAGAACATTAAAGAATCATAAGGAAAGGAAAACTACTGCAAGACACATAGTAGTAAAGCTTCTAAGAGTCCAAGACAAACAAAAAATAATGAAGTCAAGAAGGGGGAAGTAAAAGATAACCTATAAAGGAAAACCAATTAGGCTAACATCAGACTTCTCTGAAGAAACATTATGGGCAAGAAGTGAACAGCATGACGTATTCAAAAAACTCCAATAACAGAAAATGCCAGCCAAGAATACTTTGTCCTGCAAAAGTTCTCCTTCCTATATGAGAGAAAAATAAGGATCTTCTCAAACAAACAAAATCTTCAGAAATTCACTATTACAAAGCACCTACTCTAAGTAACGTTACAAAAAGACTTAGGATCTAAACCAAGGAAGGAATGAACATAAAGAATTGAACAAGGGGCCTCCCTGGTGGCTCAAGGGGTCAAGATGCAACCTATGAAGCTGTCTGCAGCCACTGTAGCATGAGTTCAATCCTTGGCCAGGGAGCTATGCACATGGCGCAGCAGACCTCTCCTTTCTCACCCGCTGCTCTCCTCAGCAGTGTATTTCAGTAGATCAGCCTGTTCTGGTCCCCACTCTGTCTCTCACCTCCCACACTTCTGGCCTGTACCCCAGAGTTCTGGTATGCATAAATAACTAAATCTTAAAAAAAAAAAAAAAGAATTGAACAAGTTACTGAGTAAAATCACAAAACAATTACCAAAAGGTAAATAACAGACTTCCATGTATCAATAATCACCTAAACATGAATGGACTAAACTCACCAATAAAACTCATAGAGTAGTATGTTGGATGAGAAAACAGAATCCAGGCTTCTGCTGCTTCCAGGAAACACACCTAAGTTCAAAAGATAAACATAGATTGAAAGTAAAGGGTTATAAACAATTATACCAGCAAGTGGTCCCCAAAAGAAGGAAGAGGCAGCAGCACTCACATCAGATAAAACAGACTTCCAGCTTAAAAAAAAAAAAAAAAAGGTGACAAGAGATATGGATGGACACTATGAAATGATCAAGGGGACAATACATCAAGAAGACATAACACTAATCAGCACATACTTACCAATGAGGGAGCATCAAAATACATTACACAATTACTATCATTCCTGAAAACAGACATTGGAGAAAATATATGGAAGGGGACTTCAACACCCCACTCTCAACAATGGACAGATCAACAAGAAACAGAAAATAGACAAAGACACAATAGCCCTAAATAAAAATCTAGACCACATGGGTCTAATAGACAGCAATAGGACACTATCCCCTCCCAACAAAATGAATGCATTTTTTTTTTCAAGTGACCTGGATCATTCTCTAGGATGGACCACATACTGGACCACAAAACAAACATCAACAAGTACATGAAGACTAAGATTGTACCAAATATATTCTTTGTCTATAAAGGTGTCAAACCAAAAATCAACTGTGAATAGAAAGCAAGGAGAGCTCCCATTACATGGAAACCAAACAACGTGCTACTGAAAGGTCAATGGGTTTTGAGAAAATCAAAGAAGAAATTAAAAAATACCTTGAAACAATGGATAGTAAGGACACAAACTTCTAGAACATATGGGACACAGAAAAACAGTATTATGAGGGAAGTATATAGCAATACAAGCCCACACCAAGGAGTAAGAAGAGCCTAAGAAACAACCTAATCTCCCATTTCAAAGAACAACAACAAAAAAAATCCAGTCAAAAAAAGGAAATAATAAAAATTAAAGCAGAAATAGATGAAATGGAAATTTAAAAGACAGTCTAAAAGATCAATGAAACCAAATGTCGGCTCTCTGGAAAGATAAACAAAATGGACAGATCTCAAGCCTGGCTCACAAAGAAAAAGAGGGAGAAACCTCAAATAGACAGGATCGCAAGTGAAAGAAATTACAATAGACACAGCATAAATCTAGAGGATAATTAGAGATTACTGTGAACATTTATACGCACATAAGTTCAACAATCTAGATGAGATGAGATTGTACAATCACCCAAACCTGAATAATGAAGAAATAGAAAATTTAAACAAACTAATTGAAAGCAGAAAAATTGATGTAGTAATCAAAACCCTCCCAAAAAACAAAAGCTGAAGACCATACAGTTTTACAGGCAAGTTCTGCCAAACAGTCAAAGATAAACTAATGTCTGTCCTGATAAAACTCTTTCAAAAAATTGAGAGAGAAGGAATACTACAAAAAACATTTTATGAGGCCAATATTACATTAATACCAAAACCAAGCAAAGACAACACAAAAAAGAAAACTACAGACATCTCCCTAATAAACACAGATGCAAAAATCCTTAATAAAATCTTAGCAAACCAAACCGAACAATGCATCAAAAGGATATACATCATGACCAAGTGGGATTTATTCCAGGGGCACAAGGATGGTTCAATGGCTGAAAACATAACTGATTAACTTAATTCACCACATCAACACAAAGAAAAATAAAAACCTTACAATCATATCAATAGATGCCGAGAAAGCATTTGATAAAGTTTAATATCTATTTATGATGAAGGTCCTTAAAACACTTGGGATAAATGCAACATATGTTAACATAACAAAAGTGGTAAATGACAAATACACAGCTAACATCATTCTCAATGGTGAAAAGCTGAAAGCTTTTCCATTATGACCTGGAAGAAGACAAGGATGCCCACTCTTACCACTGCTTTTCAGTAGAATATTGGAAGTCCTAGCTAGAGCAGTTAGGCAAGAAAGACATAAAAAGAGTCCAAATTGGGAAAGAAGTAAAGCTATCATTGTTTGTGTAGCTTAATTTTGGGGCTTTCAATTAAATTCCATTGGTCTGTATATGTTTTTTTCCAGGACCATGCAATTTTTATTTTTATGGATTGTTAGTATAGATTGAAGCCTGGGGTATAATTCCTCTGTTCTTCCCCCTTTTAGTCAAGAGAACTTTGGCTATTTGGGCTTTTTTGTAACTCCATATGAATTTCAACAATAATTGTTCAATTTCTTTGGAGAATGCTAGTAAGATTTTTTTTACTGGAATTTCATTGACTGTACATTTCTTTGGGTAGGATGGCCATTTTAGTTTTGTGGTTTGGTTTTTTTTTGCTCCTTTTATTTTTTAATTTATATATATATATCTCTTTAATTTTTACATCATTGTTCATTTTTAAACAATATTTGCTTCCCCCACCCCCAGATGTAGTCCCTTCACCAATGCACCCATGCACCATCACCTCAGTCCCCTGTACTCCTCCCTCCCTCCCTCTGATCCCCTTCCCTCCTCCTCCCTTGCAGTGTGTCTCTGATTTATCATGTCTTCTGATTCATGAGCAGAGAATTTATTTACATTTCTTTATGTCTTCTAATTCTTTTAGCAGGGTTTATAATTATCCTTCTATAGGACTTCATTTTCTGTTAGGTTTATTCCCGGGAATTGAATTGGGGGCGGGGGGGCAATTGTAAATGTGATGGTTTTTTAAAATTTATTCCTCTTCAGACTGATTGTGTATAAGAAGCTACTGATTTGTGTGTATTGATTTTGTAATCTGCTACTTTACTAAACTGACTTACTATTTTATTTAGTTTTCCCATAGATATTTTAGGGTTCTCTATAAATATCATCTGCAAATAATGATAGCTTTACTTTTTTCCCAATTTGGATTCCTTTTATATCTTTCTTGCCTAACTGCTCTAGCTAGGACTTCCAGTATTCTACAGAAAAGCAGTGGTAAGAATAGACATCCTTGTCTTCTTCCAGGTCACAATGGAAAGGCTTTCAGCTTTTCACCATTGAAAATGATGTTGGCTGTGTGTTTGTCGCACATGGCTTTTATTATGACAAATGAGTAAAGGTCACACAATGGAACAAGGAAAGTCTCTTCAATAAGTGGTGATTGGAAAACTGGACTGCCACATGCAAAAGAATTAAACTAGATTACTATTTCACACCATAGCCAAAATTCATCAAAATTGAGAAAAGGTTTGGATGGAAGACCTGAAACCATAAAATACATAAAAGAAAACAGGCAAAAAACTCCATGACATACACCTCAAAAACATCTTTGAGGACTCCTCTCCAGAAGCAAGGAGAATTAAAACAGGTGGGACTTCGCAAAACTAAAAGGTTTCCATGCAGCAAAAGAGATAGTAAACAGAATGAAGGGATACCTACTGAATTGGAGAAAATACTTGTACACCATACTTCTGAGAAGGCCTCATGTCAGGCTGTCCACTTACTAGTTGTGTGATCTTAGCAAGTCATTTAACCCCACTGTGCCTCAGTTTTCTCATGTGTAAAATGAGATTTACCTTCCCTATATGGTTGTATGGAAAAATCAATATGTATAACGCACACCGATTGGTGTACAACATCAATACAGCAGTAAGCATTTACTAAATAAGCATTTAATAAATATCAGTTGTTATTAAGATTCTATCAATATCAAAGATCTACAGATTTTACATAACTTAACAAAACAACCAACCAGTAGAAAAAAGGGCAGAAATGCTAAAAAGAACCGTCTCCAAAGAAGAAATTCAAATGGCCAACAGGCATATGAAAAAATATTCAACATCACTAGTTATCAGGAAATTGCAAATCAAAACTACAATGAGATACCACCTCACACCAATGAGAAACACCCATATTTTAAAAAACGAGAAGTAACAAATGTCGACCTTGTTTTGAAAGAGGTACCCTCTTACACTGCTGGTGGGAATGCAAACTGCTCCAGCCATTTTAAAATGCTCTGCGGAGGTTCCTCAAAACACTGAAAATGGAGCTGCCATATGGCCCAGCAATTCCACTCCTAGGAATCTGTCCAATGGACTCAAAAACACTAATTCAAAAGAAAATTTGCACTCCCATGTTTATTGCAGCACTATTTACAATAGCCAAGATATGGAAACAAGTAAATGCCCCCAAAACAGATGACTGGATCAAGAAGATGTGGTGTATATACTGTAGGAACAGGAAGGCACAGAGCTGGTTCTCTCTGATCTGAGCATGCAGGTAAAAAGGAGCTTTGGAGCCCTCGGTGGCTTTCTCAGGCTTTTATTGAGCTTTTCACATGTAGTGCAGCAACCAGGTACACAGCAGCAGGGGTGTCAGGGGCCAGGAAGCTGACAAGCCTCTCAGTCCCAGGCGAACCTTCACTCTTTACTGGGCTCTGTGGTGTTCTCTCTCTCCTGTTAGCTGGGCAAATATATCAATACTGCAGCCACGGCCCACAGAAGTAAACAACACAACTAAATATAACAGTGTAACAAAATGCAGGTGCCCCCATCAGGCATGCTATCCCAATGGCAGGAGGGCAGAAAAGCCTGAAAATTGTTTACCTTACATATACACAATGGAATACTGCTCAGCAATCCAAAAAGATAAACTCATGCCATTTGCAGCAACATGGACGGAACTGGGAGAAATAATGCTCAGTAAAATCAGAAGAAAAAAATATAGGCTAGTTTCACTTTTATGTGGAATAGATTCACTTTAATGTGGAATATAGATAAGTTGAACAGTCTGGAAAAAGACAAAATGGACCATAGATCTGAAGCCCATGGTATGGGGCAAGGGAGGGCGAGGGTCAAAACAGGGAAGGGAAGAACACAAGGGACTGTGGTGTTGGGTCATGGGAGAGCTTCAAGGACAACACTTTAAAAGTTCATGATGGGCCTCCCCTGGTGGCGCAGCGGTTGAGCCTGAGCTGCGAAGGTGCCCACAGCCTGTGCAGCACCGGTTTGATCCCGGCCAACGGAGAGGGTCCCACACGGCACGCAGACCTCTCCTGCAGCCCGCTGCTCCCCTCAGCAGTGTACTTCGGTCCTTCTGCCTGCTCTGCTCCCCGCTCTGGCTCTGGTAAATTCTCTCACCCTCCTGCGCTTCTGACTGTACCCAGTGCTTGTATAAATAAATAAATAAATAAATAAATCTTTTTTAAAAATAAATAAAAGTTCATGTTCTCAGAGTTGTATTTTACATGGCATGAAGACAGAAGATGAAGATGAAGCTCAGCTACCTTACTCCTATAAAAGTATATCACATATACATAGTGTTGAATAAACATTTTTATATCAAATTAATTATTGAAATGCACAATCATTCCCCCAAAAGCTTATGGTCTTTCCATATTCGTACAATTACTAAACATGAAAGACTTATTTATTACAACTTTGCACTACAAAACATCAAATTTGATCTACTATCAACTTTATGCTATTTTTCTGGCTTATTTTTAGTCTATTAGATAACTGAAAAGTCGAGTGTTCTTTACATGAAAACGATCACAGAATCATAAAAATTTAGCACTAGAACGAAATTTAGTTCAATTTTGAAGGGAACAAGCTCAATCCTCTCTAATTCAAAGACAACCACTTAACTCCCTTCCGCAGAGTTACAGACTGAACTATCACAACGCGCGTCACGAACGTCCTCCTGCCGCGCGGCGACCTGCCCGCCACAGACAGCCCCCTGCGTCGGCAGCGGACAGGCGCTCCCCTCGACGTCCTGACGCAGGCCGTCCCCAGCCGGCTCACCTTCGGCGAATCGCCACATCCGCCTGGGCCCGGGCTTTCCCGTAGGTGAAATGAGGTCACTGTACCTTCCCGACAAGGTTGTGAGGAAAAAATCAACATATACACTGAGCACCCGCCGCGCCCACCCCTCGGGGCGGCCCACAGCCGCCTCCCGCAGCCCGGCCGCGTCCTCAGGCCCTCCGCCTTCAGGCTCGCCGTGCTCCGTCGCGCTCTGCACTGCACTGCGCCACGCCACGCTGTGCCACGCCTCGCCGCGAGACGCACACACGCCACGCACACCACGCCACAACGGCGCCACGCCGTTTGGCTGAGTGCGCACGCGCAGTGGGAGGGCGGGAAAAGCCTGACGCTTTTCCCTTCTGCTTACCCCACGGCGTCGAGTGGTGTCTGATGCGTTGTGTTTAATAAATGTAATTTATTATTAAGATGCTATCAATAGGGCCTCCCTGGTGGCGCAGCGGTTGGGCGTTGGGTTGCGAGGCTGCCCGCAGCCTCTGCAGCGCCGGTTCGATCCCCGGCTACTCCCTGGCCACCAGAGGAGGGTCCCACATGGAGAGCAGACCTCTCCTGCCGCCCGCTGCTCCCCTCAGCAGTGTACTTCGGTCCTTCTGCCTGCTCTGCTCCCCGCTCTGGCTCTGGTGAATTCTCCCACCCTCCCGAGCTTCTGACTGTACCCAGTGCTTGTATAAATAAATAAATAAATCTTTAAAAAAAAAATGCTATCAATAAATGCGTGGACGTGTATATGCTAAGTTTTAAAACAACCTAATTATACTAGAATTGGAATATAGGATTACTTTTGTTTTTCAAATACACACACAAATCACTTTGATATTCCATTTTGGTACGTGAATTGTATAGCCAAAGGGACCGCTTCCTCATGAATTGCATGCAAAATTCCAAATATTAAACCCATAATAAAGGTCACTTAATTTGAATACCATTGACTTTGTGATCATTGAACCCAGAGGTGTACTCAGAATGTGAAAACCAGAGGGATCATTTTTTAATGTCTCCTCTGTGACAAAATTATTCTCAGTAATGATCATGAAATGAAACAAATAATAGCCCAGAAAGAAGCACACAGTGAAAATTCTCTTTTATTCAGCTCCACTTATATGTCAATATAAAATGAATATTATTAGTACAAAAAGGAAAAATGTAATACAACTACATATTGGCCTGTTGAAGCACTAAATAAGATTAAACCTCATTCTCTGATCTTCTTTAGTTTTAAAGAAAACATTAACAATTAAAAAATAAATTTCAAAGTTACAGGTATTTGAGCTCAATTATTCAAAAGAGTGAAACTAAAACTTGTGCTTACCAACCAAAAATATTATAGCTTAAAGTTTGTACTTCATTTCACTCAAATGAGAACTCTAGTGGTTTGACAGAATGACAATTTGGATATAATCACATTCTCTTTCTTCATCCTTACAATCACTGCACTACTATTGTTTATCAAGATGAACCTCTACAACAATGGGATGTGGACCAAAAGAGTTGTAGACATGAGTGACACCCCAAGACTTGAGTTAACTTAAAATTTTTATGAATTTACTTGGAAAAATACCAAGTCGACTATAGTTGGCTCCATGTTTATTAAAGGCTGATGTGTGACTGGGAGTTTTCTGAATTCAATTCCATCTTTTTTTTTTTTTTTAAGATTTATTTATTTATTTATACAGGCACTGGGTACAGTCAGAAGCGCGGGAGGGTGAGAGAATTCACCAGAGCCAGAGCGGGGAGCAGAGCAGGCAGAAGGACCGAAGTACACTGCTGAGGGGAGCAGCGGGCAGCAGGAGAGGTCTGCACTCCATGTGGGACCCTCCTCCGGTGGCCTGGGAGCAGCCGGGGATCGAACCGGTGCTGCAGAGGCTGTGGGCAGCTTCACAACCCAGCGCTCAACCGCTGCGCCACCAGGAAGGCCCTCAATTCCATCTTAATGTAAATAACATTTATTAAGAAATAAGCAAGTACATGTGCTGATTTGAAGCTTACATATTCATTACTAAGAACATTAACTACAGAAATTGTTGCGATCTATGGATTCAAAAGATTTAGACTTTTTTCTAATTCAGTGATTCTAGTATCCTAGAAATGACAATCTTTTTAACTAAAAGAAAATCTGATTTACTTCAAAAGGCATTTTGGTTGGGACATGATGTCAATTACAACCACAGTAGGAATAGGTCTATCTTACAAGAAAGTGATGCATGGGTAAAAGCTGCAGTTAATTTCTTCCACTTCTGCTGTTTAGCTTCCGTTATTCTATTTCGGTGGTGCTCCTTCACCCACAAAACTCCCCCTTTTTCAACTATTCTAAGTGTAGCCAAACCTCCCTTGATAAGAACTGCCAGGGGTAGTTAACAATAAAATCACAGGCCAAGCTCCTGGAGACTAGACTGTATTGAGTTTTGGGTGAGACTCTGAAATCTGATTCTAAACAAGTGTCCCCAAGTGATTTTTATTAAGAAGAGACCAGAAAAGTTTAAGAACAAGCAAAAGAAGGGTCTTGCAGGGTTCCTCCAAATTCATCAGCCTTAAGGATTAATCTTCCTCTGGGCGTTAAGCTTTAGAGAATTTGGAAACAAAAGCAGGACAGTTTGGAGAAAGCAGAAGGCATCCTGTCAACACCTCTGATGTAGATTTTCAACATCCCAAAGAATCTATCAGAGGGAAAGTTTTTACCTTGGGTAGATGTGAAGGAGGACACCACCAGAAGGCAGTACAGAGCTGACAAATTATACAAATCTGGGGATTTTTTTTGATCTCACACTATAACATGCAATGGTTGCACCCACAATTTCTGTGAACTCAGATTACACACACACACACAGGCAGCAGGTTTATTAGACACAGGTAAAAAGACGTGGGCATGTAATCGCTGCACTTTTCTCTCACTAGAGGATGTTTTTAGACAGCCACGGTAGAAAAAAGTTCCCTTGAAGTAGTGTTGAAACTGAATCAAATAATTGATTAGACATGAAGACTCCAGGTAAAATGAGGAGTGGTCCAATTTTTCTGTCTGCAAGTTTCAAAATACGTATCCTACTCTTTTAATTAGCATTATAACGGGATACTTTTCAATGGTTTGCGTCAAACCTTTAAGAGTTCTAAGTGGGCAGGGGTAATGGAGTGAAAGCAAGCTATGCCACAGCTGTTTTTTAATACTTCTTCAAGTATGGTTTAAATGTTGTTCTGGCCTTTAGAAAATGGTACCCCCAAGCTATCATCTGTTTCCCCAAGTAGCTTTGATCTACTCCCACTTTCTCCTTTCCGATCCAAACTCTTCCTTTGAGAAATGATTGGGAAAAAAAAAAAAAAATCCCCTGGCAGCTTAGGTAGTTTCTACAAATATCACCTGCGAGCTTTTTCCCTCTGAAATTCCACCATTAGATTTGGGAAAATAACACTTAAAGATCAGGGAGGACCTGAAGAAGAGATGTTCTTTCCCAGCTTGCCAAATTTAGATTCTCACCCCCATCTAGACAGGGAAGGATGACCCGAGCCTCTGGGGCGAGTCTCTGCCCTGTGTTTTTAATTCCTTCAAGTCCACAATTTCCGAGGTAGTAGAAGGAGGCAAGAGTGACAAGACCTAACTAGCACCTGACTGGACATAATTCAAACAAACACCATCCTCTTAAAAAAGAAGAAAAGAAAGAAAACACTTCAGAAGAGGGACGAGAGCTGAAAACCCAGCCTGACTGCAGAGGCAGCGGCCACCCGGGAACCCAGCGCCCTAGCACCGCGATGAAATGTCGGCCAGGCGTCGGGCCCGCGGTGGGAGGCCGGCCTGTCCGCGTGAAGCGCTGGAGGCCACAGATGACCGGCGCTTCAGGGGTTCAGAACCCGCCTGAGTGGCCTTACGCCACCGCCGACAGCGGCCCTGCGGACAGCACGGAGAGTCGTAAACACAACCGAGGACTCTCAGCCGACGGGGAGCATCTGCGGGTGCGTGCCGAGTCCCCACCGCGCACGCCAGGAGCCCCGCCGACCAGGGACGGGCGCTGACACAGCACCCCGCGGGCCTCCCCGCCAGGCTCCCCCGAGGAGGCGCCACTGTGGGCTCTGCCTTCCGCGGGCCGGGGAGCCTGGCCACGAGCGACACGTCGGCTTGGGAGGGGGATCCCGAGAAGGGGCGTGCACGGCGGTCAGCGCCGCCTCGGGGGGCCCTGCACGGGCACCCCCGGCGGTCCTGGGGGCCTTGCTCCAGGCCAGCACTCGGAAGAGGGGCGCCCCGGCCAGAAGGAAAGCCTCCCCGCAGAGGCCTCCGGCGCTGCGCGTGCGGGTGAAAGCCCGGCCAGCTGGGAGCCCCGCGACTGCAGGGCGCTGCCCCGGGGCCCCCAAAGCCCCAGCTGGCCCCGCAGCCCCGCGCCGGCTGCTGCTCGCCCGCCTGGCCCAGCCTCCCCCTCTCCTCCATGCACGCCGCGCCCGCGCGCCCCGGAAGGCCCCGGGCCCCTCGGCTACCGCTGGCAGCAGAGGGGCGCCGCGGGGCTCCCAGGCGACCCCGCGCCTAGGCCCAGATTCCAGGCTCCGCCCCCAACCCCGCCCTCAGGCACCGGCCCCGCCCCTCTGGCACCGGCCCCGCCCCACCCCGCCCTCAGCCCCGCCCCAGGCCCCGGTCAGGCCCCGGCCCCGCCCCCAGGCCCCGCCTCGCCCCCAGGTCCCGCCCCTCAGGCCCCGGCCCGCCCCGCCCTCAGCCCGCCCCGGGCCCCGCCCCCGGCCGCCGTTGCCTAGACACGCGCGGCCGCTCCGCAGCTGGGGGCGCAGGAGGCCGGCGGCGGCGAGCGCGCAGGCGCGGGCCCCCAGCCTGGGCAGCGGGGGGCGGAGGGACCGCGGGGCCGCGAGGGGGCGGGGGGCGGAGTGGGAGCCCGGGAGCGCGAGCCGCCGCGGCGCCGCTGCAGAGCCCGGCGAACCGCCCGCCCCGCAGCAGGTAGGTGTCGGCGGCCGGCGGCCGGCGGGGGCTGGGCGGGCGGCCGGGGCGGGCGGTCGGGGGGCGGGCGCGCCCCGGGCCGGGCCCTGCCGCTGACCTTCATCCCCGCCGCCCGGGGCGGGCGCGGGCGCGCGGGGGCAGCCGGGCTCGGGCCCCAGCCCGGGAGCCGCGTCTGTCACATGCTTCTTGTCTGTGTTTGCAAACTGCCCCGGTTCGGGTCCGGCTGGGGGGAGCGGTCCTCCCGCCCCTGCGTGCCATCTTGCATTTATTAATAAAGCACGCAGCTGGGGCGGTGGGGGTGGCCGCCCGGGGAGTCCCGGTGCGGTATGGCGAGCGACGTGGTGCTTTCGCCTCTCGGCGTGGTGCTGGGTGGAAATCCCACACCCTGAGGATGTGCCTTGGCTGGTCGTGACCGCTTCCCAGGGGCTTCCCCATGTGTCGGGCGACACCGAGGCGGCAGGACGGGGTCAGGAAAGGATGGTGGGTTTTCCACCCACAGGCCAGAATCGCGGTCGGAGGACAGGTGCAAGCTGAGGCAGTCAGTTCCCTGCTTGCAAACTTGCAGGGAGGCTTAAATCCAGAAAATTGTCTCCCTTGATTGCCGAGAGGAGGCCTTAACAGAATCCCTGAGACTTGCATACTCAAACTCATTAAGGTTCTGCATCTGAAGATGACTGAAGCGTGCCACCTGTTGGAAGTCAGACCCCATAAAATTCCCCATAATCTGTTCCACCAATCCTTGTTTTCAGTAACCAAGACTGAGATAGCAATAGATAGGCTCCTTATATATTCTTTTATTTCTGCTTGGCTTTTTGTTTCTTTCAAATAAAGCAGCCCTAATTGAATGTCCCATCTGCTATAGATTAAAATTACGTGATTTGTTTATGTTGCATACACTTAAAGATGAATTCTCTTCTGTATGTGTGTGTGTTACCTAGTTTTACTAGCCTATCCCTTGCTTCAAGCAATAGTCCGAAAAGTGGGATGTATATCAACAATTACCTTTCTTTTTTACTGCAGAAATACGGTGGTGAAAAGAAAGTGAAAGGTAGAAACATGGAATGAAAATGGTTATCCCACGATGCTGGGATAAGGCAGCAGGACTGTGATTCTAAGATGTAGTCACTCCACAGAATGAGGACACTTTTCTTAAATGCGAGTACATGCCAGTTACGTATAGCTTTTAGCTCAGCTATCTATTATCTCCAGGTTGAAAATGAAGACGCTGAGACTTAGAAAGATTTGTTAACTTGACCAAGGTCACACAGTCAGGGACAGGGTAAGAATGCACACTCAAGTGCACCTGATTGCTGGGGTTGGAGGAGCCCAGGGAGCAACCTTTACCCCTGGTGCTGCCCTCCCGTATGCGTGTTCATTAAGATCAGTTTATGACTGATTCAGATCTGATTTTCCATTCCATAGATCCCTTACCCACATTTGTGGCTTTCCAGCAAGAGAAATTTATTTCAGAATGGGGCCCTATGGAATTTTTTGAGGTGGCACTGAGCCTATAAAAGAATGAGGTCCAAGACATGCTTCTGATTAACTGTCCAACAAACAGTTAAGTTCAAAAAGTTGTTATCCTTCAGATTTATATGCGTAAAATGTGCGTATCAGGTAGAATGAGTCACTCATGTTTTTCACCATCATACCCCACTCCCATCTTTTCAAGGCCCTCCATGTTCTCTGTTGGTCTCCCTGCCAGTCAAAAGAACTACATTGTCTATCACAGTTGTACGTGGGTGCCTTAATTCAGACAAGCCATATCAGCTGGGGACCATAACCCAGTCTCTCTACAATTGTAGCAATTATTCAATTGAAGTTCTTGGAATTTGTGCGTTGAATTATAGATGTACATTTAATCTTGCTTTGCAAGTGCATTATTACAGTGTAGGTATTGATTTTACTACACATTCCTAGAGCAGCTCTCATAGTGTTAGAAATTGCCATAGTTATATCAATGGGAAATTCAGCCAAATTTAACCTCAGGTCATTTGTGATGGTAGTAAGAAAGGAGTATAAGGGATTATTTGAAAATGACATCCCTTGGAAGTCACAGCTTTTAATTTGAAGCTGATGAATAATATTAGATAGGAAATATAAGCTCTCTTTTCTTCCTCAAGCCATGTGATTGGCTTTCGAGCACCATGATGGTACTTGTTTCATTTTCCTATGTCCTGTCAGTAAAGCAGTATGTCTAGCATCCCGCCTCATGGAAAAAACACTTGGTTTCAGAAGAGCGCGTTCTCCACCGCTTCGAGAAATGCTGAGCTGGAGGTTCTCACCCTGGGAATTTCCAGTCTGTCATCAGATAAACTAAGTTGAGTCCAGATGTCACAAGGGAAGCAGCCGAAAGCAGAGAGAGGTGTTGCTTGATTTTCGGGAAGGAAGTGGGGTTTCCTATGGGAAATAACACTGTTTTCTTTAGTCAAAAATCTCATCATTAAAAAGCGTCCAGAAAGTGGCCTTGTCCGCTCCCTTCCTTTCAGAAGGGCAGAGCCCAGCACCCTTCCTTGAGTGATAGTTACTTCGAGGAATATAAAATGTTCCTGGATTACATATATTTTTCCGGGAAATATATCCTGTATTTTATTTTATTTTATTTTATATCCAGTATTTTAAATGGAGAAAGCCATTGAGACAACTGTGTATATTTAAGCATTTTTTTTTTTTATTCCTCTCACCAAGCATCTTTTTTTGTTTATTCTCTTTTGGAGGAGAGGGGAGCCACTAAAATGTTCCCCAGCCAGGGAGAGAGCAGGCGTTTTTGGTGGCTGATTGTAATGCACATATTAATGCATTGTTGAGTGAAACACTGGGAAGTGGAATGCCTCTTTCCTTGACTTGACCTTGCAAGCTACTTAGTTGTGAAATGTGCTTTTTCTGTAGTATTGCTTAATTGAATAGTCTTTAAAATGAGAGGCCAGGAAATCACCTCTCTTGCATCAACACTTGGCCTGTGTTGTCATTTCTGCTTTGCAATATGTACTCATGAAATGTGCAGATATCACATACATATAGAACATAGAAGGTCAGTGGTTATAACCTCCTGTGATCTTACTCCTCAGCAGTGCAGCAATGCACTATTAAACAGTTTGGTGTGGATTCTTCCAGATTTCTGAATGTCGATAATAAAATGCTACTGCTTGCCAGCAATACCATGCATAAGTGCGTGCTGTTTTGCAGTTTCTTTTCTTGCACTTGTTAACATACCTGGATCTTCTTGAAGGCCCTTGATGGTGCGCTTCTGGACACCTTTTATTTGGCCACAGTGGGAACTAGATGATAGGAACCCTACAATCAGGGTAGAGACCCAGCATAAGTTGTGTCCTGTGAGAGATAATGTCATACTCTCTTCTAACCCTTGCGGCTACCCTTTGTAGTAAACAGCTCATAGCTGAGGACAGCAGAGCCCCAGTTACATGATGCAAGGCATAGAACTGAGATTCAAGCCCACGGTGTCATTGTGACTGAGACCTGGGGCTCGCCCTACCCCTCACCCTCAACCCCCCGAAACTGCTTGTGATTTGTAATAGAACCATGGAGTGGCTAGCACAGGCGCCAGGTTTTGGGAAGTCAAGGCTGCCCTCAGTAAACTAATCTCCACATTTCATTCTCAAGCCACAACACGCATTACTTTCAACTGCACCCATTTGGCTTAAAATAAGCCTGAAGTGAGTTATTTCACCCATGATTCACTCAGGGTCTCCCACCCTAGTTGCAGAGTTGCCCTTTTGTCCAATTAATGCAGTGTATAAAGTCAAGTAACCTTGCCCCTTAACAATTTTCCTTGAAATAGTAAAATCTTTGTATTTTACCTGAACTTGATGCAGTGTTTTTAAAAACAATTTCTGTGACACCTGCTAATTCTCCTTTAGCCCTGATTACTAAAGATTTTTCATTTTTCCCTTCAAAATGAAAGAATAGTGTGAGACAATGTAATCCCTCAACTAAAGAAAATATTCCATTTTTTGAGGCACAGTCTTGAAAGAAAAGATTGGAAGTGTCCCTACCATCTCTCCCTGTCCCTTCATTGTCATTTTCTACCTGGGCTTTGTGTGTTCTCCCTCCCCTCTCAGTGTCCTATGTCTGCCTCTCAGAACAACCCCTGTCCCTCAGCTCTCTACTGAAACGGGATTCTTAAAGGTCACCCTTGATTGCATAATTATAAAATACAATAACAAATCCAGTGGGTTTCTCTGATTTCATTTCTGATAGCTCAGCAACATCTGACCCTCTTAAATTGTACTCCTTGAAATGCTCTCTCTGTGTTGGCATCTCCTTCCCCGCTGTATCTGCTCTTTCCTCTGCTCCTGTCCTCCCGTTCTATGGAGAAGTGCTTAAGTGCATGGGCTGAGTCTAGGGCTTGAATCTTCGCTGTTGCTCTTGACTTTGAGTTATTTAACAGCCCTTTACCTCTGTTTCCTCCTCCATAAAATGGGAAGAGAAATCACTGCCTCCTGGGCCATCAGAGGGTTAAATGAACCTACCCCAGCAAAGAGTAAGCACTAATAAATGTCACCTTCTATCATTATAATTTTATTCAGATACTAGAAAGCTTCCTTCCATCTGCAAGATAAAACCCTGAAGTCAGCTCCTGATTAGTTTATTTACTGCTCCTTTCCTTCGCACTGGGCCCACTTTGGAGCCTTTGTCCAAGGGTCCCCACTAGTAGATCTCCTGCACCCTTCCTTCTTCCTGTACCTCCTTCCTGGGCCAGAGGGGGGAGAGCGCGGGAGCACAGACCGCTGGGCTGAGAGGCATCCTTCCTCGCTGGGCACCTGGCCCATCTCAGGCGGGTTAAGATTGCCTAAGGACTCCAGCTGTGATTGATGATTCCAAAAATACCCTTCTTAACCTTTAGCACTATACTTTACACATGGTCGATATTTAACTTACATCTTTCTACTGCCAAAACACTGTAGTTATGCTTGGTTCTTTCAAACCCTTTTCCTCCTAAACTGAAACTTGGCTTCATCAGTCCTGTATAACCTGTATAA